GCCCTCTGCACTGCCACCACTGCAATGTAGGCAGCAATGACAGTGACAGAGGGCAGCTCAGGTGTTGCAGCCATCCAGAGCCTGCAAAAAGGGCCTGGCAGTGGCATTGTGGGGGGGTGCTTTTCTCCTGGGCCCAACAACAGCTTCTGTCTTGCTGCTCCTGCTGCTGCTCAGTTTGGGCAGGTGGTCCACACCAGGCGCGGGGTGGCCTGGAGTTGGGGCTGTGCATGAGGGTTCCAGGTGGTCTGCTCCACCAAGCCAAGTACAGGGCTGATGTGGGGTGGGCTGGTCAGAGCTATGCATGCTGGTCTCCACCAGTACTGTGGGGCTGGGACCAATGGCAGTGGCAGCCAGAAGGAGCCACCGCTGACACCTGGGCTGTCGAGGAAGATGGGCGAAGGTCAGGTCTGTGGCTCAGCGCTGTTGGCGGTAACGGGGAGGAGCCACATGATGCATGGGCTTCAGACTGCTGTGAGGGTAAGGAGTTGTGACCAGCCCTCTGCAGCTCCCCAGAACTGCCTATGTGGCCCATGGGCCGAAATAATTGCCTGCCCTAGAGGGTCTTGCCCCTCCACTCAGTGTCAGACTGATTCCCACATATGGGGTCAGGGAGAAGTTTTGCCCCATGGTCAGATTAGTACAAACTGCATGGGGATTTGCCTTCCTCTGCAGGCAAGGGTGTGGTCATCTTCCTGGCCATCATTGTCCCCCTGCTTTAGCTATGGCAGATTAGGGTACAACAAGTTTACCTGTGTAGTTTTAGTAAAAGGTTAGACAAGGATTTGGATGAGGATGACCCTCAAGCAGGGTATTGGATTAGGTGACCTCCAGAGGTCCTGTCCAGCCCTACTTTTCTACAATTCTAAATTAGGTCTTGTTAGCCTGTGTAAAACTGAGCAGATTCCTATTGATCACAAGCCTAACTCCAATAAATAATGTATATATGTTGTAATTAATCTATTCTTTTAGCATCTTTAGTGACTGATGGCAATAGCTGTGATCCTAATCTGTAAAAAAAACTCCCTCTCTGATTAGGGTCATTACTAAATTAGAGGAGCTGGTGTCCTTTCTTTGTTGCAGTGGTTCATCAGTACTCCCACTGCCTGCCTGTTTTGCAGAATGACAGTTCTCTTCTGGGGCCACCAAATTAAGTTGTCTCTGAAAGTTCACCATTTCTTTTTTCTCAACACAGTCAAAGATATATAAGATATAAAGGAATGGTTAATGTCCTTAAGAAAATTTAATTGAGTGTTTTATGATATTGCACCAGAAGTTCTAGTTTACCACGTAACAAATTTAGAGGAAATTACATCTGAAAGGCGAGCAAAGCTATAATAGGTATTCTAACAGCCACTTAAAGGTAGTAGAATCACAAAGTTCTTTCAATTTTTGTGACATTTTGGCAAGACAACATACAAAGGACCTTTTTATACTGCTGTGTGGTACCTTCACAGGAGGTGCTGGAATTATTTTTTTCTGGACACAGTAAATTATTCTTCATAAAGAAACAGATGCACTTAATCTGTCAGACTCCAACTGATTTTAGAGAATGAATGTAATGATTGGCAAAGTACTGACGTCAGTAATTTATGGTTTGAATAGTTAGGAACCAAATGGGGTCAGTTATGCTTAAACACTCTTAATATATAACATATTGAAACCAGTTTGACAGTTAATGCAGGTTCAACTTGAAAATTATTTTCATTTTTCTAAGGCTAACATTTATTACTAGTTTCTGATGCTCTAGATCACTGTAATTACTCTGACTTTTTAAAGCTAATTTTATAATGCCCTTTTTTGTATTTCCCCAATTAAGATAAAGATAATCATAAATAATCATGACAACACTTACCAAGGAATGAATCGGTAACTGCTCTCTAGCTCAGCATTAATTCACTCATGAGCAACAGCAGCTATTAGGTTCAATCAACCCCCACAGAGGTCATGGTTGCTATATTCCATAATAAAAGTAAATACATAAAATGTTACATACTTATTATAAAACAAGCTTGGTGGGTTTTGTGCAATACTGAAATAGAAATTTGGAGATTACTTTTAAACGTTAATGTTTTTTCAGTTCTTAATTAAGTTGTATAAGCATTGGGCTAATTGTTTTTTCCCCCCATTTAGAAACCAGTCAGAACTGTATAGTGTCCACAGTCTTGCATCTTACTATAATTACTAAATATAAGACTGTGGTACAGCATCAGTTTGATAGCAGTTAGATTTCCACATTAATGTGTAGTGATATTTCCTGTTAGTTTAGAGGAATGTTTTTCATCAATTAAGAGAATAGTATATGGCCCTTTTCTGATTGATAAGAATGGTCTTGAAACTAAATAGAACCCAAATTGTATTCAAATTGATTGTAATACACCATTGTTATTGTTGAGAAGTTGCTTGCAGAGACAATTAAGTTTACTATCCAAAGAGGTAGGTGTAATTTTGTCAGTGGATTGGATATTTTTTATAGTCACCTTTTCTGAAATAAAGCAGCTAAGATCAGCATTTTGTCCTTATGCTTCCATGTCTGTCCATCTGTATTCAACTATTTTCTCTGGTACTACCTTTAGATTATAACTTTTGGGGGTAGAGGCTGTCTTGTTATATATGTGTTAAGAGCTTAAAACAATGAGTAATCAATGGCTCACTGTCTGGTTCATGGCCAGTGTTAAGTGCAGTGCCCCGAGTCAGTTCTGGGGTTGGTATGGTTCAATATCTTTATCAACAACCTAGAAGATGGAATGAGTTCACCCTCAGCAATTTTGCAGATGACACCAAGCTGTGGGGGAGTAGTAGATATGCTGAAGAGTAGGGTTAGGATTCAGAGAGACAAATTTGAGGAAAGGACCAAAAGAAATCTCATGTGGTTCATTAAGGACAAGTACAGAGTTCTGCATTAAGGCTGGAACAACCCCATGCACTGGTACAGGCTGGGGACTGATTGGCTAAGCAGCAGCTTTACAGAAAAGGACCCGGGGGTTATGCTGGACAATAAACTGAATATGAGTCAACAGAGTGAACTTGTTGCAAAGAAGGCTAATGGCATATCGGGCTCTATTGGTAGGAATTATGCCAGCAGATCAAGAGAAGTTCTTCCTGGGGGGGGGGTGCTGGGGTGCACTGTGCTTGGGGCAGGTGGCAGTGCTGAGAGGGGAGGAGCTATGGG